TTTTTTAATATTTTGTTTAAACAAATAAATTTTTCTGAAATTAAATTTCTTGTACCAAAACATACAACTTTACTATTTAAACCATTTCTTTTGCACACAATAGTTATTGAGATATTGAAAGAAACATGCTTTTCATCTCTATTTTAAGGGCCATTTTCACCCCTCAGAAGTGGATAATTGCTAATCAAAAAAATAACTGGCTAAAATTTTCTTAAGTGTCCTACAAGTGAGTAATTGCCAATAAAAAAATAAGTGTTTAAAATGTCTCATTACATATATACAGAATGTCCCGTAACTCCTCGAACACCCGGAAATGGGGGGTTGCTGGGGTAACTCTGAACAACTTTTTCCTTTTCCAAAATCCAGTTTGAAGCTTTGTTTTCGAGTTATTAACGAAAAACACTGGCCAATTTCAGCGCGCGTAGAGCCCGCGCTCAGGGGCGGAGAACAGAGGCTCATCCGCGCACGATCTAACAAATGCGTACGCGTGACTTCTCGGTTCTCGATCGCTATCAAAAAAATCTGACTTTGCACTGCTGTTTTTATAAGACTTAGAGAAATGGTTTTTGGCCGTCATAGATGAATAAGTTGAAAATGTGGCTTAGCACTTTTTCATTTGAATACAAGTGCTCAAGTAAATGCTTGTGGCAATGTTTTGCGTACAAAGTACTGCTGTGGCTTAGCACTTTTTCATTTGAATACAAGTGCTCAAGTAAATGCTTGTGGCAATGTTTTGCGAACAAAGTACTGCATACAACAATGTATGCAATATTTCATATTCTACATGCGTGAACGTGCAAAATTAATCATGCATATTCGTGAAAATGACGGAAAACCTTTACGCTTGTATACGACGAGTGTAGTACTAACACAAATAATAATTAGTAACTCATTATGTACGACGAATTTGTGAACTTTTAGAGTTGAAGAATGAAGTATGGACCTTCAGCAACTTCCCTGTATAATTTTTAGCACGTTAGACCCGTTTAATAATTAGTTATTAACAATTTTAGTATGTGATGTCGGGAACGATACCAAATAGCGTCATGTATCTTTACGTTTTTGCAATAATTTCATAGCTTTCTACTAAACTCTCATGCAAGTAACTATACGCGTCTCAAAGACAACTCCTTCAGCTACATAGAAGGGTTATCTGTTGGGGTGGAGAAAAATGTTGAGCATGTATAATGACGTTTTTTTTTTTGCGCGGAACCTTTGTTCCCGTGAAAGTTGAGGTTGCAAATTGATCGAGGTATAAGACACGGTTGCAGTAGCAGGAAAAGAACTCATATCGTTGAACGGTGATTTTAGAGTAGCAAGATACTTTTCTTTCACTGCTCATCTTTGAAACTTGAATGCACACATTGCTGCAGTCTCTATTCTCGAATGCAACATCGATGGAAGCACAATTTCGAATGCAAAACACTGTTGTACGCGTTACTTTTGAACGCAACATTACTTGAAGCGTTATTTTTGAACGCAAACATTGTTGGAATCTCTATTTCTGATTGCAACATTATTAGAAGCGTTATTTCGAACGCAAACATTATTACAAGCACTGCACTTGAATGTAACATCGATACAAGCGTTTTTCTCGCTTGTAACATCGTTAACTCGTATTATTATTATTATTATTATTATTATTCGCTCCCGATAACTGCACATTGTTGCAAACGCGTACCGGGTTTGCAACTTTGTTGCCGCGAATCGTTCCCGAAAATTGCACATTGTTGCAAACGTGTTCTGAGTTTGCAACTTTGTTGTCGCGAAAACTTGCACATTGTTGCACGACGCGCCGTTTTGCAACAATGTGCAACTTTCGGGAGCGGCTTTCGGCAACAAAGTTGCAAATCCAGAGCACGTTTGCAACAATGTGCAATTTTCGGGAGCGACTTTTCGGGAGCGACTTTCGGCAACAAAGTTGCAAGCGCGATCTCTCCGTTATGCAACTTTGTTGCCGCGAATCGTTCCCCGAAAATTGCACATTGTTGCAAACGCGTTCTGAGTTTGCAACTTTGTTGCCGATAGTCGCTTCAAAAAATTGCACATTGTTGCAAACGCGTTCTGGGTTTGCAACAATGTGCAATTTTCGGGAACGATTCGCGGCAACAAAGTTGCATAACGGAGAGATCGCGCTTGCAACTTTGTTGCCGGGCGTCGCTCCCGAAAAAAGCACAAAGTTGCAAAACGGCGCGTCGTGCAACAATGTGCAAATTTTCGTGACAACAAAGTTGCAAACCCAGAACGCGCTTGCAACATTGTGCAATTTCCGGGAACGATTCGCTGCAGCAAAATTGCATAACGGAGAGATCGCGCTTGCAACTTTGTTGCCGGGCGTCGCTCCCGAAAAAAGCACAAAGTTGCAAAACGGCGCGTCGTGCAACAATGTGCAAATTTTCGTGACAACAAAGTTGCAAACCCAGAACGCGCTTGCAACATTGTGCAATTTCCGGGAACGATTCGCTGCAGCAAAATTGCATAACGGAGAGATCGCGCTTGCAACTTTGTTGCCGGGCGTCGCTCCCGAAAAAAGCACAAAGTTGCAAAACGGCGCGTCGTGCAACAATGTGCAAATTTCGCGACAACAAAGTTGCAAACCCAGAACGCGTTTGCAACAATGTGCAATTTTCGGGAGTGATTCGCGGAAGAAAAGTATCTTGCTACTTAAAAATCACCGTTCAACGATATAAGAGTTCTTTTCCTGCTACTGCAACCGTGTCTTATACCTCGATCAATTTGCAACCTCAACTTTCACGGGAACAAAGGCTCCGGCGCAAAAAAAAACGTCATTATACATGCTCAACATTTTTCTCCACCCCTACAGATAACCCTTCTATGTAGCTGAAGGAGTTGCCTTTGAGACGCGTATAGTTACTTGCATGAGAATTAAGTAGAAAGCTATGAAATTATTGCAAAAACGTAAAGATACATGACGGTTTTTGGTATCGTTCTCGACATCACATACTAAAATTGTTAATTACTAGCTATTAAACGGGTCTAACGTGCTAAAAATTATACGAGGAAGTTGCTGACGGTCCATACTTCATTCTTCAACTCTAAAAGTTCACAAATTCGTCGTAAATAATGAGTTATTAATTATTATTTGTGTTAGTACTACACTCGTCGTATACAAGCGTAAAGGTTTTCCGTCATTTTCACGAATATGCATGATTAATTTTGCACGTTCAAGCATGTAGAATATGAAATATGTTATACATTGTTGTATGCAGTACTTTGTACGCAAAACATTGCCACAAGCATTTACTTGAGCACTTGTGTTCAAATGAAAAAGTGCTAAGCCACATTTTCAATTTATTCATCTATGGATAATGCGGCTTGTACGAAAGCATCTGTATGGAACATATATGCACTAACCGTGTTCCTTATTAAAATAAGGAGCGATTCGCAGCAACAAAGTTGCATAACGAAGAGATCGCGCTTGCAACTTTGACTCTTCTTTTGTTATATGTTTCCGCGGACCGCGCGACGTTTGGCGAGAAACGATCATGTGAGTTCCCCGATCCGGTCGTAACATCAGATGTTTCGGATAGGTCAGGATCGACACACTGACCCAGTTCCGTCGAAGCAGATTAATTCGTGGACGAATGGGTAGGTTTTTCATAAGTAATAAAACACTTTATTCCTTTCGGATAACGAATAAAAGTACCGAACACAGTTATTAAACGACTTACTTGTTATTCATGAAAAAGAAAAAACATACGTTTTGGAAATCGATGTCAATTATAAAATTTCATCGAAAAAACAGCAGTGCAAAGTCAGATTTTTTTGACAGCGATCGAGAACCGAGAAGTCACACGTACGTATGACTTCGATTGCGCACGGATGAGCCTCTGTTCTCCGCCCCTGAGCGCGGGCTCTACGCGCGCTGTAATTGGCCAGTGTTTTTCGTTAATAACTCGAAAACGAAGCTTCAAACTGGATTTTGGAAAAGGAAATAGTTGTTCAGAGTCACCCCAGCAACCCCCCATTTCCGGGTGTTTGAGGAATTACGGGACACCCTGTAGATATTTTCATTATCAACAACATGTGCCACTTCCTTAATGTCCCTTGTATGTGAAATTTGGAGTATCTGCTTCCGGTCTGGGAGTCCGCAGTCATCCCAGCAATTTCCTGTCTTCTCCTCAACGTAATGGGCCAATATAAGCTTGCGGTCACACGTCACTTCGGATATTAATCATTTGCCTGCAAATTAATCGATCAAGGCGCTCCCTTGTTCCTTAATGACATACGATTGGCTAATTTCAACTACGTGTTCTTCCGACATACCGAAAATATGAGACATTCGTTTTTCACGAACGATTACTACTAATTTGTCGCTTGAAGTAGCATTAGATGTAAGAAAGTTTCATTTTTCACTGCGAACAAGAAGGGTGCAGTGGCCTTAATAATGAACGCTGCTTACTCATCGCGGCCATGAATAATAATGACTCAGAAGGAAGACCACGATTCCGTGGCGAGCTTATTAAGTCTATTTCGCGTTGCAATTACCACGCCAAAGGAACAATATGTATGCAAATGAACAAGTAAATCAGACCAAGTTCTTCTTCGACCTTGTTCCAAGAGAAATTACGCACAGTGGTATGACAAAGGTGGTGGATTATCAAAGAAAAATTGATCCTACGATATGGAAAAATTGAAACTTGTAGTACCTTGGTACCATTTGATCCTCGATCACCATCTCTACTTTCTTGCATTCACGACAAAAATTCGTAGAAATTCGAAACATTGAAATTCAATAGAAACACTCCTTGAACAAAATTGCAAATACATTCGAAATGGTAAAAAACATTCGAAAAAATATAGAATCCTTCATGATTTTCAGTGTGACCTACTATATGCTGAGATAAAAATCAATTATTCCAACATTTACGAAAATATACATCTAATTATAACCCAAGAAAAGGAGACTTCTATCATTTTTGCGAATCCGATTATCCTGAATAATAACAGCGGTATACAAGTTCATTTGACTGACAGTGATATCAATGCGACAATAATAACACGACGCACGTCCAGCGAAGCGATAAGTGACAACAAATAGCCTGATAATGAATTTCGCGTTGTCAGCGGTGCGATAATTACATGGAACGTGCCTATGGTGCCTCCTTGATTCCTTTAAATAACTGCCGTATCGTTCAAATTGTCAGTTCAATATCAACGAACAATCCAAGAATATGCATCTTAACACTTGTCTCGCGTTTCTGTTGGTGGGTCTGGCATTTATCCAAGCAATTTCAGCGGAAGAGATCGAAGAGACCTTAGAAGAGGAAAGCCTGAAGACCGAGGAAATTGACGATGCCAAGGAAAGGCCTAAGAAATCAACGATCTGGATGGATTTGAGGAAGCAACCTCAGGTTCAAACCTTCAACTTGGTTCCTAAGTCACAAAATGTCAAGTTGATTCCTAAGTCACAAACTGTCAACCTAGTACCACAGTCTCAGACAGTCGTGCGTCAGCCAACTGCACCATTTGCTCAAAACATTCAACAAGTTCCAGGGAAAGTGGAAACTCTCAACCAACAAAATGCACCAGCAGCTGTTCGAACCCTCGGTATTCAATCTGCTGCACCTGTAGTTCAATCCTTCGGCATTGAGGCTGCTGCAGCACCTGTTCAGACTATCAGCCGTCAACCAGCTGCACCTGCTGTCCAGTCTTTCAGCATTGAGAGTGCTGGTGCACCAATCCCGACACTCAACGTTCAGCCAGCTGCATCTGCTGTCCAATCTTTCAGCATTGAGAGTGCTCCAGCAGTTGTCCAGACACTCAGCCGTCAGCCAGCTGCACCTACTGTCCAGTCTTTCAGCATTGAGAGTGCTGCTGCACCAATCCCGACACTCAACGTTCAGCCAGCTGCACCTGCTGTCCAGTCTTTCAGCATTGAGAGTGCTGCTGCACCAATTCCGACACTCAACCGTCAGCCAGCTGCACCTGCTGTCCAATCTTTCAGCATTGAGAGTGCTCCAGCAGTTGTCCAGACTCTCAACCGTCAGCCAGCTCCACCTGCCGTCCAATCTTTCAGCATTGAGAGTGCTGCTGCACCAATTCCGACACTCAACCGTCAGCCAGCTGCACCTGCTGTCCAATCTTTCAGCATTGAGAGTGCTCCAACAGTTGTCCAGACTCTCAACCGTCAGCCAGCTCCACCTGCCGTCCAATCTTTCAGCATTGAGAGTGCTCCAACAGCTGTCCAGACTCTCAGCAGCCAGCCAGTTGCGCCCGTGGTTCAGAGCTTCAGCATCAAATCTGTTCCTCAGCCTATCCAGGCCGTGAATGTGGTCCAAGCTCAGCCTCAAGCGGCAATAATCTCTGAGACAAGTCCAGCTGTCAATTCTCTGAACATTATCGAACCAGCTGTTCTTCAAGCTAACATGAGCTTGGTGGAGGCTGCTCCAGTAGTCAGTGAGACTATTTTGGTTTTGGGAGAATCAGCTCCAGTTGTTGTTGAAAACATCACCGCTACTGAGGAGATGGTCCAACAACCTGAGAAGGTTGTCGTTACTCCGTTGCAGAAAGAGGTATTTGTGCCTCTCTACAAGGAACAGATGTACATTGCACCTATAAGATCTGTCGCTATGCTGACTGAACTTGAGCCATTGGTTTCTGTTCTTGAAATGGATTGCTCTCCCTGCCTTTCATCTATAGGTCCTCTTAAGTCAGCTAGTGCTGCGCTGCAGCCTGCACTTTGTGATGGAGCAAGCGGTATATGCTACGTATTCAAACAGAGTGATAACTGACTCTGAATAGTCTTAGCGTTCTTTGGAAAGGTAGATTGAAGGATTAGAGAAGTATGTTTGAGGTATTGGATTGGTTATTTGATCTTGTGGATCGTCCGATGCATGACTATTCTGTGGATTATAGTTGAAGATGTTCGATCGAGAAGGGAAAATAAAGAATTATAAAATCTAGTATGGATTTGTATTGCAATCTTTTAGATTCCCACCTTTCCGATACGCGGCAATAAAAAAAATTACGAAAAGATGCACAAATAATAAATGAATTCTCCGTTAAACGTTCACCAACAAAATTTGTTACTTTATCTAAGAGAAAAAAAGTTTTGAAAAATTTTCAAAATCAACAAAAATACGCTGTTAAAAAATGAACATCCCATTAAACCCTCGCCAAACATTTCAGTGGCAAAATAATTCAAACAAAATTCGGAGAAAATTTTTCCATCGCTCCCAAATTTCAAGCATGAAAAAATTCTCAGAACCAAAAATGCTCTAAATGCTGTTTTTCACTCGAAGAGCCAGTCTAGCTTGATTAAATCGAAACAGCGTGATACGATCGATCGATAAATTTCCCACAGTGCATCCCTAGGCACAGGGTCGATTCGACGAGGAGCATTGGCGACGAATTCAGCCGCAACAGCCCATCCATAATCGCGACAGCGAGACAAAAGACTCCGTTTGCAAACGGCACGTTAATCGGATACGTTCGCGTCGCTGACAGAAATACGTTCGCGCCGCATCGTAACCTTCGGGGGCCCGGATGAACCTTTAAATTTCATGGTTGATGACTGGACATCGTGGACACGCGTGAACCGAAGCCTCGACACACCATTTAGGGGCGTGTAAATTCCACCCGGTGAACGAATTATGGGCGTGCAAAATTCGAAGCGGTACGTATCACGCTTCTGACAGTATATTTCCCATTTTTTCGACAAAAATTGAACAAAACTGAGCTACACGGGAGAAAACTCTCAACTGTAAATATGATTTTTATTATGTATACCAGAAGATTGTCGTTAAATGTGAGTTTAATTTTGAAAGAAGGCAATTGGATGAAAGTTGGTATTCCCGTTTTGAGTGTTGATAACAGTAAAATCGAATTTTTGTATAAAAATTCTTCATACTTATAATGGCATGTTTAATGATGTGTATTTTTTATTTTTTAACTTGTGTTAAAAAGATAATTCTTAGGTTAAAATTTTGTTCTCGTACTGCATGCAACATGTTCTTTCTGATCACATCTCTTTGCGAAACGAATTTCTTGTATAATTTAATCGAACAAGAAAATTGCACGAAGATAGAAGTACATGTTCGGAAAATTTTGTTCGAAAGATAGGTCACAATTTTCTGCTCTCGTTTTATAGTCACAATATCGTAAATAAATAAGGGGAAAAATGTTTCTATCAATAAGACAACACCTGGACAATTTCTTTGACGTCGCGAATCACGTTTCTTCAGCTGACTCAGCGTTCTTCAAATATCTGCTGTCGAAGCACTAAGCACCTGGCACTCCGTGTCATTGATCCTAATAATAGCTACCATTCGAAGCTCTCTAACTGTCCCTCACAAGAAATCACAGCCCATTTCGTCGGACAAGCCACGATAAATCGTCTCCAATTCACCGATTCAACCAACGACAACTATTCTCCGCCATAAGTAAATTCAAACATTCATCAAACCCCCAAATAGACTCTTATAAAATCTGTCAGCCTGACAAATTGCGAATTCCTAGCAGAAAAATCGATTCCACAGTCCATTTAGGTCAACTATCTGCGTATGGGTTAGGCGAATAGATTAATATCAATAATTCTATGTGTACATATCTTTATTTCAACAATAATACCTCACTTCCAAGGTTAAAGGTTATTCACACTCGTTTGAGGAAGAAAATGAACCAAAAGTAAAGTTACTCTCACGCTTAACACATTCGTCAAGTTAACTTAATCGTCCAATAAAAAGACTCGCCTGTTTTAAGATAACACTGTTAATTTAATTAGACTTCTGTTTGTACGAAAAAAACTTGTGTGTATTTAGACAAGTTCAAATTTCCCTGAATCATACGTGGTTCAGCGAACACTGAACGCGTTAAAATTGCTTTCTCAACGAACGTTCGAGCGTAGAGTCTACGCGATATGTCTAACACCAGCGTAGAACCCTCTCTTAGGGGCAGGTTTCCATAGTGCTGGTTGCTTCACGAGAAAAGGCTCCATCATCACGCCAGACCTGACAGCGGCATAGTTGCTGTGTATACATTTACTCTCGCAGCAATTGCAATGTGGCACATGAACGGCTGCAGCCACTGGCTCGGCCTCAGCAACCATCATCAGAGGCCTTACAGGACTCACGACTATTTGTTTGTTGTACAGAGGCGCACTAGGCTCCACGTTCACCACATCTTCCTCCTCCACCTGGTGCAGGACTATTCTCTCAGGCTGGTCGACGATCTTGCTACTGCGGCTGTTCGTTTCAACAACTGGAGCTGGTTTCTCCACCTCCAACTGCTCCACTGGAGCAGCCTCGACCGCGCTTGCGCTAGCCTGAGGAACTGCTGGTTGGACGGTGTTCGGAGAATTGCGAGCTAAAGTTGTCTGAGAGATCGCGGTATCTTGAGACTGGAAGTTGAAGCCCTGAGTCACAGGTGCAACTGGCTGGATGCTGAGAGTCTGGAGAGGTGCTGGAGCACTTGCAATGCTGAAGGTTTGGACTCCAGGTGCAGCTGACTGAAAGCTGAGAGTTTGAACAGCTTCTGGACCATTCTGGATGCTGAGCGTTTGAACAGGTGCCGGGGCATTTTGAATGCTAAGAGTCTCAAATGCTACCGGAGCCTGTTGGATGCTGAGAGTCTGAGACTGGGGAACCATGTTGACCGTCTGCATCTGGGGCTGCTCTTTGATGTTCACACAGATCGTAGACTTCTTCAGCCTGTCCTTGTCGTCACTGACATCCTCCAGCTCCAGATTCTCAGCTTCCAAGGACTTCTCGAGATTCTCTGCTGGGAAGGCCTGAATAATAGCCAGACCCATCAGCAGAAGCGCGAAACAAGTATTCAGATGCATTATCTTCGATCGTTAGTCGATATTGAACTGACGATACGGTCGGAGTGGGTGAGCTTTTAAAGGAACCACGGTGATCCTGTTTAGAGACACATTACCACAGGTGATGAAATTGTGTACGCGTCGAAAACACACGCAACGCGTCGCTGACTGGACAAAATTCGAGGACGGTGTCGAGTCACTTGTTGACACTGCTTGTATGGCTGAATAGATGATGCGTGGGTGTGTGTATGTGTGATAGTACGTGTAATGGCTCCGTGCTCCACTACTTTGATGTACAATAATGGGATCCGCGATGGGGCGAGGGAATGGAGGCAGAGTAATTATAACGTTACAGCTGGGGAATTGTAGTAATTATCAGAGGGGTGTGTGTTTTTCAGATGAATCGGATGCATTTTGGGAAAGCTTTTAATTTATGGTTTTACTGCTGTTTGGAATTCTTTTTAACAGTGGAAGCTACCACTTTTATTTGTTTCAGCTTTTTAAAAAATAATTAATACGTTATTAGCTTCCACAGTTAACAATTTGCGTGAATGTATGTACAAGATGACTCATGAAAATGGGTCAAAATTTATCAGAAGAATAATGTTAGAAATTGAATGATACTGACCACTTCATATTTTTTTATATTAACATATCAAAAGATAAAACTATGTATCTTGTTTTTTAAAGAGTTAATATTCAAATGTCTTTTTTTTATTATTGCTCGACGCAAGATTGTTTCCTCTTGAAATAGTTAAGTTACCATTGAAGATAAATTGAAAATATTTATAACTAATCAAGCGTCAAGAGTCTCGAAAATGTTTTCTAAACATTGATACATCATGTGAAATGTTTTGATAACATTTTTCTGCTGACGTTTGTTTCGTGGTTACGAAATACCGGTAAAACATTGGAACAGGAGTACGTGTCCACGATTGTGGTTTTAAGTAAACGAGTAAGATAAGCGCTGAAGCCATAATGCGGAAAAGTATTGCAAAAATTAAGTTATAACATAAACTATTGCATTATTAATCGATTCGAAATTCTTTTCCCACCCTCTTAAAATTTTCTTCCATTTCATCCCCTTTCTATGTTATATCTATCTTTCTGTATTATTCTACATATATCGGAATAATTATTAATAAAAATTAGGAAGAATTACCATATTTTAAAGTTCCTCAATAAAGTATATCAATAAAATTTTTCTACACCAATCAATAATAGAGATACTTCTGAATCACTCTGTATATACTGTACTAATACGTATTTCATTATTACTTTAAAAAAAAGTTCGAGAATTTTAATGAATCTACAGGGTGTTGAAGTTTGTGTAGCATTATTACTACTCAAATTTCCAACTTTAAAGATATACATGGATCCTCATTTACGCTGTTCTCAATCAGTACAGACAATTCGTACTTATCAAAAGGATAAAGGATTTCTTCATCGCGAAGAAAAAATTCTTTTCCACGAACAAACGTTACTACTACTACTAATTTGTCGCGTGAAGTAGCATTCGATGCAGGAAAGTTTCATTTTTCACTGAAAACAAAGAGGGTGCAGTGGCCTTAATAATGAACGCTGCTTACTCATCGCGGCCATGAATAATAATGACGCAGAAGAAAGGCCACGATTCCGTGGCGAACTTATTAAGTTTATTTCGCGTTGTAATTACCACGCCATAGGAACAATATAGATGTAAATGAACAGGTGAATCGGGCCAAGTTCTTGTTCGACCTTGTCCCAAGAGGAATTACGCACAGTGTCCTGACAGGGACGATAGATGGCCGAGGAAAGGTTGTTCCAATGGCACGGGAAAATTGAAACTGACCGTGCAACACCGCCGGAAGTGCCTTGGTACCACTTGAACCCCAATCACCGTTTTCACCATCTTGCATTCACGACGAGAATTGCGAAACACTGCAGTCCAATAGAAACACTCCTTGAACAAAATTGCAAATATCTTCGTAGCGGTAAAAAACATTCGCGGAAATATAGAATTCTTCGTGATTCTCAGTGTGATCTACTATATACTTAGATAAAAATCCATTCTTCCAAGATTTACTCCAGCTGTTCTTCATTTCTTCAATTCTATTCTGAAAATATTCGTCGGATTACAACCAAAGAAAAGAATTCGAAGAACTTCGAAAATTTCAGCGCATCCAATCATTCAGAACGAAAGCAATGGAAGACATGAACGTATCAAACATTATGTCGCGCATGACCGATTCACACACGCACGGTTTGTATATCCATGTGACCGTACAGTGTCAACAAGTGACACGATAGTCCGAAATTCTGAACGTTTATCGAACGTAAGTATTTCGGATACGTGATAGATTATGGCATCGAACGTGCCTAAGAAACGTTCTTGATTCCTTTAAATATCCGCTGGATGGGTCGAATAGTCAGTTCAACATCGACTAATAATCCAAGAAAATGCATCTCAACACTTGTTTCGCGCTTCTGTTAATGGGTCTGGCATTTGCTCAGGCCCTACCAGCCCAGAAGACCGAAAAGGCTCTGGAAGAGGAGAACCTGATTCTCGAAGAAACTGTCGACGACAAGGCAAGGTCTAAAAAGGCAGCAATCTGGATGCAACAACCCCAGGTTGAGAGCATCAACTACGTTCCTCAGGCTCAAACTGTCAGCCTGCTACCACAAGCTCAGACAGTCAGCATCCAGTCAGCTGCACCAGCTGTTCAAGCACTGAATATCCAACCTACTGCCCAGACTCTCGGTCTTACAGCGGCTGCGCCTGTAGTCCAGAGCTACAGCGTTGAAAGTGCTCCAGCAGCTGTCCAGACATTCAACCTTCCGGCTGCTGCACCTACTGTCCAATCTTTCAGCATTGAAAGTGCTCCAGCAACTGTCCAAAGCTTCAGCCTTCCAGCGTCTGCACCTGCAGTCCAGAGCTACAGCATTGAAAGTGCTCCAGCAGCTGCCCAGACATTCAACCTTCCGGCTGCTGCACCTACTGTCCAATCTTTCAGCATTGAAAGTGCTCCAGCAACTGTCCAAAGCTACAGCCTTCCAGCGGCTGCACCTGTTGTCCAGAGCTACAGCATTGAGAGTGCTGCTGCACCAATGCAGACAGTCAGCGTTCAACGTTTCGCACCTGTAGTCCAAAGCTACAGCATTGAAAGTGCTCCAGCTGCTGTACAGACACTCAACCCTCCAGTTGCTGCGCCTACGGTCCAGAGCTACAGCATCGACAGTGCTCCAGCAGTTGCCCAGTCTTTCGCCCTTCCAGCGGCTGCACCTGCTGTCCAATCTTTCAGCATCGAAAGTGCTCCAGCAGTTGCCCAATCTTTCGCCCTTTCATCGGCTGTACCTATGGTCCAGAGCTACAGCATTGAGAGTGCTCCAGCAGTTCCCCAGTCTTTCGCCCTTCCAGCGGCTGCACCTGCTGTTCAATCTTTCAGCATCGAAAGTGCTTCAGCAGTTGCCCAATCTTTCGCCCTTCCAGCTGCTGCACCTATGGTCCAGAGCTACAGCATTGAGAGTGCTCCAGTAGTTGCCCAGTCTTTCGCCCTTCCAGCAGTCGCACCTGTAGCCGAGCGCTATAGCTTCCAAAGTTTCCCTCGGGTTGTTCAGTCCATGGACATGGCTCAGCCTTTGACATCGTACCGCATAGTGCCTCAATCTAGGATAACCTACGTGTAACCGTAATCCATGGTTGACAGAGTGCATACGACATTTCTTTGTAAAGGTAGATTGAACATTCGGAGGTATACTGTGTTTGAGGGTATATTATTGGATAGTTTGAGGTTAACTTTTTCTCTTCGACAGATATGGAACACCTCTACCGAGGGCTTGAAGGTTAGAGGCCATATACTACTATACTTGGGGATTAATATTCAAGGTTTTTTGTTTATAAATTGAAAATAAAAATTACTAGCATGTGTATATCGAGTTTTTAATATTTATCACCCTGAGGTTGTCACGAATCACATAATCTTTAATACATCCTGCCACCATGCGCTCCTTTTTAATATAGTTACTTAATTGTTACAGCTTATTCGAGTTTGAAGTGTCAAGGTTGGTAGCATGAAGAAATTGTCTTTCTGTCTATCGTTTTCTTTTTTGTCCGATTTATTTTACTTGGAATAGTACTCGAAGTTGGTATATTTGAATTTTTAAAGTTGACACAGCCCAATTGTATTCCAGCGTTTAACTAAATATCCGAACAGTGAAATGGTTTCCTGTCAAATATTTAGATATCGTAGATTTCTCGTGCTCTGATGAATACATGCATGACGATACGTGTATATTTAGGGAAATTTTTCAACGTCTGTTTGACGAAGTTCAACCAGGATTGCAAATCTCTTTGAACATTCACAGTGTCCCTCGATAAGGGAACTTCAGTTCGCTGGACGAATGTAAAAATGAAACGATGTAATACGGCTAATTTTTCAAATTCCAGTAATAAAAACGCAAAATATTTCCATCGAAAAAGTTTATTTCACAGAAAGAAGAAAAAAGCTGCTGAAACTTCTGTTCATTAAGGACAAGTAATCAGCAATCACAGTTACAGTACAAGGGAAATCGATCAGTCCAAGTAACTAATCAAGCCATAATTGCATGCTCCGTGGTGGGTCTTACAGCATAAACAGGAGATGGTTCCCTTCCGGGCTCAATATTTTCCACATATTCACTCTGCGTTGATGTTTCTCCTAGTGACTTGTCCCTAGAACTACTATTCACACCCATGGTATTCCTCTTGCTCACAGCATCTTCCTCCTCCTCTCCTTCATGAGAATGAAAATGATGCTCACTCTGTCCACCCTCGTTGAACTTCATAGCCATCTTGACCTTCATCTGGCCGCCATTTTCATTCACTCTAGGGGAATTATTCTCAGCCTCCTGTCTCCTTTGTTCCTGGATCCGCTGCCTGTTACTACTATTCACAACCTGTTTACCAATGTTCTGGATCATTCTGAACACATTCTGATCAGCTGGCTGTTTATAAGAATTATACTTAATCTCTGGCTCATAGGTTATGCGAGATTCCTCAGGCTGATGCCTTGTAGCTTGCGGGAACTGCTCGAAATCGTGCATCTGTGCACCTATTGGATCTCTTTCATAGGGAATTTTCCATCTAGGGTATTGTTCAGCTGGAACCACGAAACTTCTTTCGTCAAAAGTATCATCGCGGTACTTTTCGGCCCTGTACATGACTTTGCTGTCCTCTTTGGGGTCCTTGAGGTCTCCATAGGGAGTAGAACGTGACAGATGTGGATTAAGGTATCCATTTGAGGGTTCTATGTCAGATTGGCGTTCAGTCATGTCGTAGAAGCTCGGGTTTATGAATGGAGATCTGGCTGGGCTTCTGGCTATGGGGAAACGGGGTTGGTACGGGTTCTGTGGTGCTTTTAGACCGTGAAGAGGGGGGGACTGCGCAGGAGCCACGTCAAAATTGAGGTTCCTTCCGGTGGTGAAGGGATTCTCGCGTTCACTGGCTTGTTCGGGCCTGTCAAGGGCTGGAGTTCCTCTGCTTCTAGAGGCTCTATTGTAGAGGTCAGTGTACGGGGAGCGGTTGAAGAAGGGATTAGGTCTGAATGAACGATTCGTCTGCCAGACGTCAGAATTTGGCTCGGGGTCCTGGTCTTCTCTTCTAAGCGGCATGCGCCTGAGAAAAATAATCGACATAATTAACCGCCGTAATTGAAATTGGTGGAAATATTTTTGATATTTTGACAGATGCCCTGGGGATTGAGGGAAAATTTATTGAAGCACTTTTCGAAAGGTTCAAAAAATTGCAGATAAATTTTCTAATTTCAATAGATGACTTCTTGCAAAAAATTTACATGTCTCAAATTTCCAGTTGGCTCGCGTAGTTGTGTCGACATGGATGAGAAATTTTGCACGAAAATTCGTAGAAAAATCGCAAATCTCCAATGAAATTTCGCCTCGAAATTCGGAAAATTTGAGTTCTTACCAGGAAACCAGGGCGTCAGGCTGTTCTCGACGACACGAGGGACAGGAAGCATGTCTCATATACCTCTCTGTCTGAGCTCTCGAATAAAACCGTGGAACCGATCCAGAGATCGCGTTCACCAGCAGACAGAGCAAAAAGACTCTTCGAAAAGTTCGCTTGATCATGCTAGTGGTACGTGTATTAATAAAACCAGAGCAGCTTGACACCTTTTTATAAGCTACCAACCACCAACAAGGACATATTTCCTGTCTCAGCAAAGTGTTTCCTCTCTTATTGCATCAGACAGCCATGTTTTCGTTACGTAACCGGAAGTGGAGGCGATTCGATCAATTATTCGTTCAGTTGTTGTTACCTTTCTTCCTTCCTTTGCCTCGAGACTCATCGTGGACCTTGATCTACTTCTCTGAAAGCATCGTTGACATAACGGTGCAACTGTTTCTTCAACAATGGCAGCGAGAGAATTTGTTTTATTCATCCGTTTTAATAGATTTTATTCAATATTGTCGATATTGTGCGATGTGAAAGGAAAATAAATCGTTTTCGAACAGCGAAATGGAAAAATTTTTTATTCGCCGTTTTCCAAAGTGTTTCTCTAGGCCAGTTGGAGTGCAAAATTTGATTTGAAAAAAATGTTTGTATTTGAAAGTGTAATCCTTTGAGAATATTCTTGTAGATTTTCACAGTGAAATATGAACGTGTCATTTTCGACACATTTTTAACAGAGTTTTGCAGGATTTTCCGTTTCAACGATTAAAAAAATTCACTTCGAAGATATAACTTGGTTTTCCTTGATTTCCGTAATTCCTAAAAACTGCAAAAACTGTTTTATCGATAAATTTGAATTTTTCCTCGAATGGCAATAACCCCAATTTTTATTTTCCGAATTTCGATTCGTTTCCAAAAATTGTACAACCGAAATTGAAATTTGACTTGCTCTCTCTGTGTTACGACGTTGCCTTGTAATTTCACTGTAATCGATGTTTTTAAGCCCCGCGAATAGGAAATTAAGACGATTAAGACGAAATAGGAAAGGAAACGTGGTGAAAACCAGCCGGAATTCACGTTGATGTATGCGGTGTCGGACAGTGTAAAATAATAATAAATAACTGGATATATCGCGCGTAGTGTTTCCCAAGCGGTGACAAAAGTTGCTGCGTGAAATACGAGGTGTCTCCATTTCCCTCGTTCCACGCATATTTGTTTCGAACCGACTTTCTGCGCCCCGTACAATTACGCTAATTACTGTTCCCTATAGCACAATTACATTTGTAACATGTCATTTATGTCTCACGCTTATCTGTTTCAATTTATCCTCTAATACGCCCACCTTTCCACTTCTGTGTACGTAAGTTAATCATTCGGAATATTTACAATCATCCTCAAACGGATAATGTTGAAAGTGGGCGAATTTCAGTTTTCAACAGGATTGAAAAATTCTTTCACAGCGTGATTCTACGCGTTCCAAGGAGTCAAAAATTAACAGTCCTTTATCCGGGAAATGATGAGAAATTTGTAAAAGTGCAGTTAAACACATGAATATGAAAATGATTATAACTCATTTAGTTGTTACTTTTCAGTCTCATCTATTGGTAAAATAATCATTCGAAAAGTCGAGCAAAACATTATAGTAGATTGGCGTATAGTGAAAAGAAAAAATAATAAAAAATAATTAACGATAAAAATTGGCGTTTCGTTGAAATCATCAGAAAGGAAAAGTCGTTTATTCTGAAAAGTGATAGAAGTTATTATAAACTAGCATAATGTAGGAACCGACGACGGAAAAATATTTGAGGGACCCAACGGGAATCGAACCCGGAACTTTCGGTTTAGCAAAAGCCGAGGCTTTGCGCACTACGCCAACCACTCCCTCGCTATTCCCCCTTGTCGGTTTCCTATTTGGGTATGAGGGCCCCAATACTACAATAAGTACAATAAAATAATCGTGATTATGACTTAATTATGCTAGTCGTTATATTTCGGTGTCTCGCTTTCTTCGGGCGACGATCCATCTGTGAAACAATTTTTGACGAATATAAAAATTCGCTTATTTTTAACATTTTCCTTTATTAAACGACACATCTACTATTTTACAGCCCGAATTTCAGATTAAAAAGTGTCGCAACCCTAACGTAACAAGTAAAAATGAAATTAACGGAGTCACGGTCTCGTAAGTTGGTGAATGCACTATGAGTACCCGTCGAGTGACGCACTCTTCACTGGAAATACCCGCGAAAAGGCCAGCGAATCGAAGCAATTGGGCATAATAAGTGGCGGAAAATTCAACGTGCCACGATTTACAGAGATGTTCGTGAAGAGCACTTCAAGATCAGGAAGAACGTGCTCAGAGAGGCTTTATAGATCCGTCCTGTAGGTTTCCAGACCTGAACTTATGCATTGCCTCGACTGTAAAAGACTCCACGAATTTTACACAGTGGTTCGTGATAAAAATGGCTGTCAGGGTCACGTGGTATCTTCTTCCGCTCGAAAGTCGTTCGAAATCGATCTGAGCATCAATTATTCAAGCTCTGAGGTGGAAACATTCGAAATAACCTCCAATGGAGGATGAAAGATTGCATACAGAGTGTCGATGAGGAAAGAATGGCACATTTAACGAGAGTGCTGGAACTTTGGAATTTTTTTTCCGTGAAAGTGTGAAAGATAATTTTACGATTTTTGTTTCTGTTCGTTAAGACATTCTTGTGCTATGAAAGAATATTCCTTTTACGAATATTATGAATATTTTAAGAATATTCTTTCTTTTAAATGATGTATCTTTATAGAAATGGGGGAAACTTTTTTGAGAATCGAGCTAGAGGAAAAAACCTGTGCACTATATATGTGTAGTTAGTCTATAGGGTGTTCTTAATATCACGAACCGAAGAAATTGAATAATTTTCAGGATTAACAAAATGATGGTGCTTTAAATGAGACTAATTTCTTCTTGTAAATACGGTGACGTTTTCCAAGTACTAAAAGAAATAAAAATACGATGGCGTTGCAATCGCCATTTTATTCTACGCTATAAACGAATAATGTATAATCATTCTCACAAAATTTCGAATTAATCTGGCAATTAATTTTCTCCTTTTTACGCCACCATGAAAATACCTCATTTTTCACTCTTCAAATTTGTCCACATGTATAGTATACGGTGTAAATGTAAAAAGAAAAAATATTTTCCTATGTCACAAGTGTGTCTCAAAAACTGAAAAAAAGATTCACATAATCACCTTGAATACTTTCCTCGAGAAAAATTAGCAAAAGACGGTCTAATTTTCGACTTTCTCCTATGGAAATGACACGAGGAACTTCGTAACTCAAGAAGAAACTATAATTGAAAGGTTCCCTCCCGACCAAAGGATCTCCCCGTGTAATTTCCGCTTTCTTTGATACTACTGGGAATATTCTATACACTGTTGCTCGAAGGAACTACGTTGCCAAGCTTTTGCAGGAATTCTTCGTCAATTTGTACATCTTTTCTCCACTTTCAATCCCAACTCAGCACGACTTTTCATCTCCAGTTACTTCTAGGCTGCAGTTGGTAGCATTGGCGCTCATCCATTGAACGATTTGCTTTCAGACAGGACACGGATGACGACATAATATCGAAGAAATCACTGCAGGCTGTTAAGCAGATCATCAACTTCCTGAAGGAACGTAAGAGAACACAAAATCTCGAGAAAAAGAACATTTTTATCGTAAATCAAAACAATTCCCAGATAAATGCGCCTCATGGGATTTCGTCGAAATTTTGTCAGTATGTTCTACGGTTCAAAATGAGACGAAAATCTTCTATACACATAGGTCCGTAAACGCTTCGTTTGACAGTTATAATATCTTGAAATGTATAGGGAGCACTGGAGCCATTTCTTCTTCTTTTTTTTTTTATTTTATAGAATTAAATTCCGATATCATTTCACCCAATTTCGTCTCACATATATAATAATATTTATCCGATGAATGTAAAACCTGTGTTAGCAGAAAATTGATGCAAGTATACTTTGCTAAGGATACAGTTATAATGATGCTCTTCGCCCTTCCTTTCTTTCTCCCATAACTTTTTAAGAAGGCATTTATGGACCTATGTTTATTAGACAATTTCGTCTCATTTTGTGCTTTAGAATATCTTAGTGAAGCACGGAAACCTGTGAGGTACTTTATATATTTTCTTTTTTCGATAATCCTTGCGCCGGCCATCTTAGTTTAAATATTCAAACAGTTGCTGTTCCCTTTTAAGATGCCAGAGAAGAGGGCCTGTTTCGACGTGCAGGACGTCGTGACCTAAGAAGACGAATCCTGAATTCGTTGAAGAAAGGGGAGAAGCCTCATTTGGGCAACCGTAACGAGGCTCTGGAATGTGCAGCCGCGTTGCAACTTTTCCTATGCCACCTGAAGAAACCTGTGATGCCTCAACATGTCCAGCAATTGCTTCTGGGTAAGTGGTATTGTAAAATATATAATGGAATTTTCGCAAAATAATGTTTCTGTTAAATAAGAGCCGTGCCAATTTTTTATCCTTGAATTTTGTGTTAAATTCCAAGCGTAAATAAGATAAAAAAAGAAAGGTTATCTTTCTAATGAAAACAACCTCAATTTTGTTATTCTTGTAAATAATTAAAGTGAAAATTTGTTTCGAAATTATTTTTATTTTAAAATAACAACCATCTCTCGTTTCCAATCGTTCCAATCTTTCTGAAGATCGAAGATTTTTCTACTACTCTCCAGTGCTAAATAAAATTGAAATTGCTGCGAAATTGTTTCAATCTTTTTGCTTCTCTTTTAAAGTACAAACGTCCTTTTTAATTTTCCAACAGCACCGTGAAATTAATACTACTAAACCTATCTTAACCTAACCAAAAGCAGCGTAGAACGATTCGAAATAGCTGCGTTGTTAAATTAGATGTTTAATACAACAAATTTCCGTGCACGTAGGATATTTGTTTACAATTCGGAAAAGCGGTACGCATTATTGATAAAATTGACAGACCCGCCTGGCACCGCGTTAAATAATAATTCTGCATGTTACCGAACCGCAGATATTTGTAAACAGCATACTCGCGCACTTTCTCGTCGACACGTTCTCAAACAACGGACCGTGTTTCGACACGATATAGGTACTACGCCCGTAAAAAAAAAAAAACGAATCAGACACGTAATACACGATCCTAATTAAAAATTCGCTGACGATACTCGTTACGAGAGGATAAAATAGTGTATCCTGGAATTGTCAAATTTATTTCCTACTCGAAATACGTTACCCTTAGCATTTCTTGGTTGGTGCAGGAATTTCCCAGTGAAATAGGTTAAATACCTATAAGTTAGATTCAGAGTTTCCGCAAAATTGTACGTTTTACAATTGAAGATAATTAAGGTAGTCGTGATGGTGACGTGCAGTGGTAAAATTAACCTTAAAATTTATCTCTGATTTTCAAGGACTTACGAGAAAATTTATGGAAATCGAGCGGCATTTTACATTTGGAAGATTTTTTACCTACACGTTGCAATAAATTTGAAACGATTACTTTCACTCTTTCGTCGCGTTTCATCGTGAAGTAAGAAACGATTAAATGGTAATTTTCCATCGAGCAGCTGACAATCCCGGGGTGACCACTCACATGATCGCCAGGGACGCGCTTGGACTGATACGACAGGATGTCGGTGGCCGTCACGGAGAGCTACTGGCCGGTCTTCTTGATTTATTGAGGCACTTGACCTTATCCGGCCCTCCGTCCGAGAGATCGGAACTCCGCGGCTCACCGCTTCCGATAGCTTTACTTCCGGTCTTTTTCACTTTGACGGTAAACCTGCTCAGTGACCAACATTGGACTTGAAAGGGAATCGCCATGATGGAGATTAGATCCCCTTCCGGCATTATTGCAGAGTCGTTCAGTGACCATCTGTAAGTCTGGGTTCGATTTACCATGAATTTATTGGCGTTTTATAGGAACTTGGTGTTTTCAGGCTAGGTATGTACTAGGTATACTTTTTAAATAGTATATTTCTGGTTCTGCATTAATTCGATGATATTTGTATTGGAAAATGTAGGCACTCTAGATTAGGTACATACGAGCCGTTTAATGCAAAAACGGTGTAAATCAATTTTTTGCCTTTTTGATTTAACACCAAAATTTCCTCTGTAGAACCTGTTGGGTGATTCCCTGGGAGTTCTAGGGAGCTCCTCGAGAACTCTCTAGAATTGATAAATGAACAGAGAATGAAGAAATTGATAGAGAGTTCCTCGACCTCGTCCCTCTTCTCCTCCTCATCTTTCTTTACGTTCTCGTCCTGTTCCCCTTTTTCTTCTTCGTCCTTATATTTCTCCCCCTTTCTCCTAATTTTCAGAGAATTTCTTCGTCATCTCCTTCATTCTACGTTAAAAATCTTCGTACATTACATACAGTGGGTGATCAAATTATTAGAGCCACAATACGAAAATTATGCTTTTGTGTAGAAATAAAATCACAATATCAAGGTTTTCACACTAGATAATTTTTAGTTGACGATTCTTCACTAAAGGTACACAAAACAGTTAAACTTAGCTTATGTAGATATAAAAAATACAGTTAAGAAGTAACAATAAAGTCAGTATTTGGTAGCTGCAATTACAGCCTTGATTCTTTTTTCGATACATTTTAAATAATTTACTGTGCGTTATAAGTAGTAAAAACACCGCGACAAAAATTAAAACGCTCAAGATCTATAAACCAAGAAAACTGTAACACGTGGTTCTCAAGTGACGATTTGCGGTACCGATACAAAATAACGTCCATATGGCAGATAATGTTGCCTAAAGTGTTGCCAGGTGTATATTTGCAATTTGTAAACATCAACGCTTCATAAAAAAAAAATAATAAGAATTCGGTATAACTACTCTTCGTTCAAAATAAGAATAACCTCGTTTCAAGCATCGGACGTGCCTAAGACAGAGCTAGAACGTCCAAACCCCCACTTAACCGCCTACGTTTTTCTCCGTCTTACCCTCTGCTACCCTATCTGTCTATGCGCAGAACGGACGAAAATCGGTCCGAGTGCGAGGTTATTCTTATTTTGAACGTACAATAGGTTTTCATCTGAAAATTAATCGTTATAATGTACAACCGTCAATTTCTTACAGGTGGCTCTAATAATTTCATCACCCACTGTACATTTGTCTTTTTAATTAAACCAATTTCTCTATCCTTCTGTGACAATTTAAGAGACAAAAAGAAAAGCTCGTAGCCATTGATAACCACGTGTCATCAGGGCTTAAGAAGATTCGTGTGTGAGGACAGTAGGGCTCGAGAGAACAATGGAGGGGGCAAGAAAAGGAAGCTGACCTTGCTGGCGCGTGCCGCGGCAATTCACAAAGAGGCTGCCTCGGTGCCGACATGAAATGGAGCTGGGATCAAAGGGCAACCGCCAAAGAATATATACAAACGCTTTTGGCGACTGAAACGGGGAATTAGCTAGGGGATAGCGCCTCTGCAGGGAGGCCATGATTTCGTCCATTTTGGATATATCTCTCTTTGTGGTTATTGCATTATAATTGCATCAACTTTTTCAAACACTTTCCCTCTGCAACTTCTTAATCCCTCTGTAGATTAGGATTTCGGTAATTTTCATCACTCGAAGTGTGTTTCTCTCCTTCTCATTATTACATCGTATTATTCTTTGTGAATTTTTTCAGTTTCTACTTTACATCCGTTTCCCACATAAATACATACGTATATACCTACTTTAGATTTCCTATGATTTCGAGGTGGTGAATCTGTTTTTATAAAAGGGAAAGGTCTATTTTACTTCAGGAACGAAAGGAATTTTACGTAAATTAATGCTAGGGTTGAAATTGCGTGTAATCTTTACGACGAATTTAACCTACATTTTACCATATTCCATGCCATTGACTGTAACACGATTTTTTACGAGGGAAGGGGGTAAAAAAGGTGCTACCTTTCCTGAAAACATGGTCACGTCAGATTTGCCCCAATAATGAACCTAAACTTACAGGCCCCAAACTATTCTTCCTCAAACTTCTTTTTTCCCTTTATTATTATTATTATTATTATTAATACCATTTTTTTTATCCTTTTTCTTCGCTCAAGTTTTCATTCAACGATAATCAGATTTTACATTCTGCTCTCGATCATCGAGGTTATTATATACACTTGAGACTCTTCCAAACGCATTCTTGGCCTGCTGGACGATTCACATGATGCAGATCGTTCGGTGATTTTAACACAACTGATCGATCGCTCGCCGTTCCAGCCAGCTGACCTGGTGAAATGGAAGCAAGTAGCCGCCAGATTCAGCGAATTAATTACCGAAGCCCCTGAGCAACTGCAGCTGAATGAAAATCGATCCTATGAAATAGAATCCACCAGGCTCCCCGTTGGAAACGCAGGCAACGTAAGGAACAGACAAGCTTTTAACGGTTTGGCTTCGGAAGAAAAGGAGAGGAAAAAAACAATCGCAGTTTGGAGAAAAGGCGGAATCGCCTGGAATAAATTTCCAGCAGCATTCGGGGCATTTATTTCTGTTTTTTTTTTTTTTTTTTTTGTTTAACGAAAGATAGAGAAAAATGGAAAATTCAGCTTTCCTCGATGAACGAGAAGAAAAAGGAGGTAATGAGGAATTTAAGAGAACAGGGAAACAATGAGAGAATCTTTTATTGTTTATTTATTTCCAAGAGTATGGGCTCGTTGATGTACGAAATGACGTAGGCAAGGGGAATTCCCAAAAAATTTCTAGGGCACTCCAAGTAAGTATGTTCCAAGGGAGTTCCTAGGGAATTGATAAATGGACGGAGAATGAAGGAATTGACGAGGAAGCGTCTGGAAGAATTTTGAACAGCATTCGGGGCATCTACTTCTATTTTTTTTTTTTTTTAACGAGAGGAAGAGAAAAATGGAAAATTCAGCTTTCTTCCATGACTGAGGAGAAAAATGTGGTAATGACGAATTTAGGAGAACAGGATAGTAATGAGAGAATTTTTAATTGTTCGTTTATTTCCAAGAGTATGGGCTCGTTGACGTACGAAATGACGTAGGCAAGGGGAATTCCGAAAAAGTCCCTAGGGCATTGCAAGGGAGTTTCTAGGGAATTGGTAAATAAACGGAGAATGAAGGAATTGACGAGGAAGCGTCTGGAAGAATTTTCACCATTCTTTCAGAGGAGAAACAATGGAAAAATCAGATCCCTTCAACGAACGAGAGAGAAAAAAAGTTGTAATGATCAATTTAAGATGAATTTTCCATTTTCCCTCGTATAGGGCCCATTTACATGGAAAATAACCTTTAGACAAAGAGCAGGCGAAATACCGATAGTTAGAACCGACGAAAGAAAGTTTTTAACCCTTCTCCTCTTTCTACTTCGCCTTATTTCGCTTTCAAGTGGATAATTTTCCAGCGTGGAAAAGCGAGCCATCGTTCCATCGAGCGTCGGCCATTTTAATAGGCTATTTTAATAACAAATTTATACAAATGTCCGTTTTATCGTTTCAGGTCAGGTTGGGGAGATAACTGGAGTTCTTGCTGTGCCATTGCACGGACCACCGGCTAGCAGACTTCATCCAGCAATTTCCAATTCGAATCGATAGCACACCCGGTATTAAGCGGCATTAATATAAATGTTATTCTTTCACGCGAACGCGATGGAACTGTTTAAATTCACCTGTAATCTCCCGCCGTCTCGACGATCTTTCACATTTTTCTTTTACCCCCTTTTTGCTTGTAAAACGAGCAACTTCATTCTTGTTACGCTTTTTATTCTCGATCGATCTTTGTTGGAAACTTGCACCTATTTCTGTGTAAACCTATTTTGAAAAAAAAAAAGCAGAGAAAATAAGGAGGAGGAAGGATGCGCGTGACAGTTTGGAGGAATATGCGTCCGTGGATTGAGAATTGTTAGAGATAGGATGGAAAAATATTTTCGTTATTGTGTACCGTGTCTGTTTGTGTTTGTGGGAAATATACGAGAATAAGTGGACACCGTGTAGCGTGTAATTTTAATAAACACTCGCACGATAGCGAGTTTTTACGAGGAATGGTGGGGGAAGTTGCTTTGGAATTTCTTTCGAGAAATTGATCAACGACGAGGTGGTCAACCAGCAACTCGATAAAAGATTCAAAGATTACTCGAAAGAACAAAAATGCAAAATTAGCGTCAGAAGAAAGAAAAGAATTCGCGGAATTCCTGAAAAATTGAAAATTTTGGCGGGAGAAACCGATCGTCTGCGTATTTTCAAATTCGTGTCGTTAATGTACAGTTACTACAATGGAGGAAGAAAAACAAACGTATAGCACACATTTGTGAGACTGAGAAACCGTAAAGTTTAACAAACTGTAAATAGACAAGACAGAGAAAAAATTAGATTTCTAATTTTTGGGTAACTGTTTTTATTTCCTAAAAGATCTTCATTTTTTTTTTAAATCTTCGATTGAAGAAGCACTTGATCCAGAATCCGAATCCTTCGAGAAACAACAGAAATCTAATCTTCTCGGACAGAATTCTCGTAATACCAAGAACATTATACTTTGAAACCGGCATCAGACACAATTTTCCGGTGTCACGCGTGGAACGTCTGCTTCAGCATGCTCTTCCTGCCTTCTGGATACAATTTAAGCTCATTTGACATAGTCGTCGTTACCTCCATGCCGAATTTCCCGTTGTGCAGCCTCTTCACCCAGGATCCCAACTCTGATCTGCATTTATGGTTCTCGTGCGACATCCTTGTACGTCGTCGTGTTAAATATACGTTTACGTGCGTGTATACAGGGTGTACAATAGCAAACGACGCAAAATTCAGCCGTTTCAAACAAAGTTTGCTTTTTTTTCCATGAGAAAATGTACCGTCGTTGCGGAAATATTTATTTAAAATATTTTTTTAGTAAACGTACAAAATGTTTCTTCATATTTACGGTAAATAAAATGAAATATTTGTATTGAATTGTACTTTACTTGAAGAATGGTCACTGTAGTGGCCATTTGTCGTGAAAAGGTTGAATTTTTCTTTTGGTAGTTTCGACCAAATATTAAGTCGATATTTTGTTCTTTCGAGTGACAAAAGGTTGAAGACGAATTTTAATCTTTTTTCGGTTTCCTTTTATTTTCGTTGTTTGCAGTCACTTCTTTCAATTACATACAGAAATTACATCAGAAGTTTCTGAAGGAAATGAAACGATCTTGGTAATTGATACTTAATTAATTGGTATTTGAAAAGAAAAAGAGAGAAAAATGATATGAGAACGTTTTCGAAATTTCCCAGTGTCGCAAATGGAAGTGAAGCTACTAGCAATTGTTCAGAAACACCCTGTGTATGCCGTAGTCATCAAGGACGCTCGTATGGTCGTGTAGAAGGTAAATGGCCCGCTTCCTTCGGCCATTTTCTCTGTCTGTCTCGCGTGACGCCTTTGTCGAAGAGCTTGATGGAATATTGAGATGCATATGGGAAGAGACAATGGGCTCATGGCGTGTATGGAGCGCGTAGTAGACAGGTTAATGGGATCGTCTTTGATATGCTGCGGCCCGTTTTATGTGACGGCTGTAGCTCGTGTTGATTTGGAGAGTGGTAAATTAGGGTAGACATTGAGGAATTTTCCTTTTCTTTTCTTTTTGGAAGAAATAAGTATGGATTGGATTTACACGGAGAGGGAAAAATTAGGGTAGAAACTGAGAAATCGTCTTCTCTTGAAAAACATAAGTATAAATTAGGTTTATCCGGAGAATAGAAAATTAGGGTAGACACTGAATGATCATTTTTTTAAAAGGCGTAAGTATAGATTAGATTTATTCAGAGAGGGAAAAATTATGGTAGAAGCTG